TCTCCTCTCCTCTCCTCTCCTCTCCTCTCCACTCCTCTCCTCTCCTCTTCTTTTTTTTTTGGGGGGGGATGTTTCCAGTTTGCTTTCTTTTGGCATGTACTAGTATATATTTTTCTAATTTGGTATTTCATCTGAGCTCAAATCTATCCACATTAGCTTACATGTAACAAGGAGAATCTCAATATATATGGCCTAACAGATATACTATGTGCTATTATGTTCTCATAATAGCTTGATTTCAGAATTATGGAATGATTACACAATTTCAGAATTGATTACTCAATTACAGAAAAGTATAGACTATATATTCCCCCTTATCCATAATGATTGGGAAATGAAGCTACTCTATTTTTATAACTCTCTTATTAATATTACTCTTTCGAACTCATCCTGGTGACTCTGGAAGTTTTTAACTTCAGATAGTATACAGAGGAATTAGAGATGGTAAACGCTACATTTCAATTCAGTTATTATATGCCAGTCATAATTAAGCCAGTTGGGTTCAAACAGACTCCTTAAGGTAATAGAACTGAGCTTGTTAACTTGTGGTAAGTACTTTTTAGGGACACACTGCAGTGCAGAGAAAATCAGCTCAGGAAGAGATAACTCATTTAAACAATATCTCTGCTCTGCAAGAAAGGGAGGGGAGAAACAAAATGGGTCAGGCATGGTATAGTTATAAAGAAAAGTGCAGACTTGTCCCGATATTCACTATGAGTCAGGGCTGTCTCAGTGGACCATTACAATATTCAGTCTTAACTGAGATGATTCCAATCTCATAATTGAATAAAATAAACTTTCCAACTTAAGCTAATGTACTGGAAAGTGGGAGATGGTTTCATAAGTATTTATACCCTATGTCTGCTTTCTTACTTTCTTGTTGAAATTCAAAAATTGGTAGAGGCACAACTCATTCTCCTTGAAAAGAAAACTAATAACTTCTGACCAAAAAGTCTTGAAATAGCAACTTTGATGTCTTTGTTTCTCATGCTGTAGATTAATGGATTCAACATAGATGGAATAATGGAATACATTATTGTTATTATAAAGTCAAGAATTGATGGACTGTCAGCTATAGGTTTTAGGTAAGCAAAGCAAGCAGTAAACACAAATAGGGAGAAGACAATGAGGTGTGGTAGGCAAGTAGAGAAGGCCTTTTTCCTTCCTTGAACAGAAGGAATTTGCAGTACAGCAGAGAAGACATGCACATAAGTCACAAGGACAAAGGCAAAGGAACCAATTGATAATGTAGCACTGAAGATTATAACTCCAATTTCAGTTAAATATAAACCAGAGCAGGTAATCTTAAGTAAATACGGGATTTCACAGAAGAACTGGTTGATAATATTAGAGCAGAAAGGAGTAATGAAAGTGGCAACAGTGTGTAATGAAGCATTGAGAAGGCTGGCAGTCCATATACCACCGATCATTTTGGTGCAAGCCTTTCTGTTCATTATCATTTCATATCGTAAAGGATTGCAAATGGCAACATACCGGTCAAAGGCCATGACAGTAAGGA